TGATCTCTCTCTCCTTGTCTGAGAGTCCTGGGTTGACCTTTCCTTGGCTGAACTCCACACTGTTGCATTCTTACATCGTGGGATAAACAATAGTGATGTCTGCTAGAAATGGCTCACCTTCTAGCTGTTCTCCAGGGCATGGGGTTTTTATGCTTGGGCTGTTTTGCTGTTTTCCCTCTGTGGCACAGAGTTGGTAGTGGAGGGGCGCCTGGCCTATTCCAGACAAGGGCCTTGGAGGACACTTGGAGATAAGCATGCTTGGATTTGAAATGAGGGAGGGGTTATTGCTTCAAGGTTCAGCTCCTTGGTAAACTTGAACAACTCATGACAGTTTACAATATAATGTACATTATAGTTTAGACTGGTGACATTTAAACATCAGTATAAAGAATCATTGGATCTTATTAAAATGTGGGTCTACACTGGATTGCTAACATGCTTCCAGCAGAGCTGGTGCTGTGGCCCAAGAGCCGTACTTGGGTGGAGGGGCAATTGCTGAATGTCAGGCATAGAAGGTATCTTACAGATAGACCTTCTAATCTGCGCCTGTGGTTCCAGAAGGAGACAGCAATTTGGAGCAAGATGCCGACTTGGCTGAGGTCACACACTGAATTAGCAGAGAGGATCATGACTGAATCTTAGGTTAACAGTTTTCCTTTGTGTTGTGTGTATGCATTTCCTTTGCTGACCTAATTTATTTGAGGCAGAGTCTTGGTTTGTGGTCCAGGTTGGCCTTGAACTTATGATCTTTCCTCTTCAGCCTGGAAGGTGCCACTGTTATAGGCATTTCCCACCATGCCTGACTCCTGTGCTGAGCTGTAAGAGTAAAGGAGCAGAAATGAGGTTTCCTTCAGGGCAGCCTCATAGAGCTGAGGGCTGCTGGGCTGGCTGTATCCAGGTATGCCTGGGCTCTTCCTGCCTGGCAATGTTAAGACTTCTCTGTGTGGATCGCAGAGTGCCCTCATGCCAGGCTTGATGCTCAGCAGTGCATGTTGATGAGGACTTGACTTTCCTCCTCACTGGACAAGGGGAAGTGGGTGGTGCCAAGAGATACCAGATGGCAAAGTATCCAGATTGCACTGACTCTCAGATTCTAGGAGCTAATGGGGTCTAGGCCACCGGGCCAGCCACTAGACTTCAGAATGTGGCTAACATTTGAACTCCTAGAAAAAGTACTGAGTGGCAAAGGGTGCATCTTGAGAACGGGGCAGGTGAGTTTGACCTAGAAATTTGGCTTGAAGCATCAGGCAGTAGTTTATTCATCATGGAGCAGGTGTGATTGGTGTGAGGGCCTTAGGAGCAGGCAATCTGCAGTATTCTAGGCACGTAAGCAGACTTCATCCCATATACATTTCTTGTGGGTTTACTGTTCGCTAGAGGGTGAGCTGTGATGGGGGTCATAGGAAGGAAGCCCTAGAGTGAGCTCTGGTCTCAGGAGGCTCAAGGGCAGATTCTGCACTTTGGTCCTCTTTAGAAGTAGAGGCAAAACAGAACTTTGGTCTTAGTGGATCAAGTTATGTGGAGATTCAGAGAAGAAGCAACTTAAGGCCATGCTTTCTCAACCTTTGGTCCACCCAAGGCTGGATCTGGATTCTTGAATGAGACAGATGTACCTTGAAAGAAATAATAAATAAATAAGCAAGCAAATACACTGAATTAAGGGTAGTATAGGGATGGAAGCATGCTGAGACTTAAGGACTCTCTGTGGAGCTCAGGGATGGGCCTGCAGATATGGCCGCTTGCTGTGCTCATGCAACCAAGCACTAGGTTGCAGGGGCGGGGAGTCATAGAGGCTTGCCACTTGCTTGCCTGCTTACCCTTTTATCTTTGACCCTGCTTGTGAGGCTACCTCGTTCTGCAAGTTTCTGGAAGCTACTGGAGCAGCAGAGACGGCTAATAGTCCCTGTCCCTATCATCATCTGTACCAGTGTATCCTGGAACCTCTTAGAGTTGATATGTCGTTAGGTATCTCCTTATGCAGGCTGGTGACTAATACACTAACTGGGTAGGGGAAGAACTGTAGTGCACTTCAAACTACACACCAGCCAGAATTCTCAAGACCAAGCTGGGGAAATTCCAGCACTGGGGAAGCCATTAACAGTTGAGGGAGAACAATGCCTGGTACTTAGTAGGCCTGCAGTAAATGTTAGGTGGCTGAGTAGGTGTCAGCAAAGTCCTTCCCAGTCCACAGAACACTTTCAGTCCCATTCTGTTCCTAGCCATTCGGAGGCAGCTCTTTCCACATAGCACAGCAGCCAAGAAGAATGCCCCCTCTCTGCCCAAGAGCATGTGGCTGGGAGTGTGGCGCTGCCACTGTAGATCAGGCTCTGGGACCTTGCTGTTGTACACCAGAGTCTCTGTACTTAGCAAACAGATACTGTTTTGAGGTGTGTGTGTGTGTGTGTGTGTGTGTGTGTGTGTTTTAAAGCAAAACTTTTTAAAAAGGGAACTGTGCCTCTCTGTGTGCATTTTTGCCACATTGAACCCTTGGGCCTCTTTATTTTTAATAAGGAAGAAACACTGGAGTCTGGAACAGCTGAACCAAGCACCACTGCTGCCTACTCATTAGTTCGTTCTGTCTAATTAGATTGAAACCAGGGAAGGAAGCAGTGGCAGCAACCATTTTGTGTGCAGCAGGCGCAGGCTTCTGCAGTCTCGAGCCTGCATCTCCCTCCCTGCTTTGCTCCTCCTTGCCCTGCACAGGGCTACTAAAGTGAGCCTTTTCCCCCAGTGGGAGGTGCTGTTTCTTCTGCCAGGAGTGTGTGTCTGATGAACAGCTGTTAGCCACATTTCTGGGACTTTCGAGACGTCTTGGTATCCAGTCTTGTAGGACAAAGAGACCATTGCCTTATCTTTGAGAAGAGATTTAATGCAAAGCATTTTTCTGGGGTACGCAGAGGACCTTGGGTCCTTGTAAACGGCTTTCAAAAGAAGTACACCTGGAAGGTTTTGTGGCTGCAGCCTGTGCTCTAGTTTGCATTCAAGTGGGAAAGTGCTGGCCCCATCCCAGCCTGTTGGAGGTGGCTCCGTCCACTTGTCAGTGTTGACTGTGACCTCTGGGCTCCCTTGCTTTGGTCAAATCTTTCTACTGGAATTTTCCATATTCGCTCTGCTCTGTGGCCGCCCTAATGGAAAGGGAACAAACACGGAGAAGGCCTTTGCTGTATGTAGAGCCATGCTGGACATGAAGGTGCGGCTCCCGGGCCCAGCTCTGGTTTCTCTGGGGTGCTTTCTGCTCGTGGCGCTGCCTTGCTTCATTCTCCCTGTTTCTCCATTGCTTTTTCCTTAGCCAAAATCAAGCTCCTATATTACTGTTTTGCCTTTGTTTATCCACACAGTCCCATAAGTGTCCGTGCTGTTGGTAGAACCCTTCAGGGATTCTCAGGGTCACAGGGAGAAATTCAGGATCTCAGGCAAAGCAAACACTTCTGGGACTTTACTTGGCTCTTTCTGATCTCTTCCCCTGTAATGTCACAGACCCACTTGTAACTGGAGACAGCGTTTCCAAACATCACAGGTTCTAGTGTTGGCCTCTGCAAGTACCACTTGTGCCCTTCCTTAGACCCCATCTAGTTCTTAAGATTGTATTTCCTCCTCTCTGATGCTTTTCATTTATGCCAAGGCAAAACTTGGTGCTTTCTCTCTGCCGTGTTCTGACTGTAATTGAGATGCATTCCCGCTAAATTATTTATCATATAATTCTGCAGTCGTTTCCTTGAACGTTTATCACGTTCTCCTACCCCAAATTCATTATGTCAGCTCCATTCACTAGCTAACTGTAGTTGAATGGCACGCTGTCTCTCACTTGAGCACTGGGCTAAGTAAAGGCTTACCATATGCTCGCTCATTTCCTCCTCCTTGATTGTAGGGGTTGTTATCATTTTTACACACCAGGAAACAGGCTTGGAGGGTTAAGGGACTTGGCAGAGCTGGGTTCTGGCATGTGCTAGCTCCACGTGAGAGGCTTAAGGCCAATGTGGTACAGCCCTTCCTTCAAGGAGCTTGCTATCTAACATCCTAGGATGCCAAGTTCATGGTGAGTGTTTTGTGAACCTTTCTTGAGGAGACATGAGCAAGCATTTATTTACCTCAGGCAGGGCACCAACAACAGAAATGATATCATTCACATGCAGCACGGTGAGCCAGAGAGTTTAATTGGGGTTTCCTTCTTAAGTACAGGCTACTTATGAGTTTTATACCACTGAAGAAACAAAAGTCTCTCCGAGAAACCATTAACTGCCTGTGTATCCTCGGGGAAAGTGGGGCCTTGGGAGCCTTGGGGCCAGACTTGTGCAGGTCTCCTGCAAGCAGTCACCACTGAGAGGGCTGTGCCACGTCCTGCTCTGAAGACAGCATCTCACAATGAGGTTGCTTCAGGCACTGTGGAAGCAGGAGAGACTGCATCACCCAACACTGTATTAAAATGAAAACGTCAGCCACTTTCGCTCACTCCCTAAAGACTCCCTGACCCATGTACAGCACCTCCTTCCTAGGAGCCTCCTCCTCCTCCGCAAGCCCACTCTCAGTGTGAGAAATGTGCATGAGGGTATGAAGGTTTCTGGAGTACCAGAAGTCTCTGGGGATTGCCCTTGTTCAGCTCATTTGTCATTGTCTAGGCTTCCTGGAGTGTTTCCATCCTAGGGCATTTTTACTTGGCCTCAGGACAGAGCTTCTAAGAACATGTCTCAGCACTGGGCCCTCTGGCACTGTCCCTCTCACCTCACTAGTGTTGGCCAACCTCTGGCATGCTGGATCCTGCCCTACTAGTGGAGGGAGCAGAGGGCACTGAGGCATGGCTCCCACTCTCTAGGGATAGTTTAAACTAGGTCAGGACAGAATGCTGGTTAAGCCTAGACATGATCCTTGGGCCTGTCACAGTGAGCTATACAGCAGTCAGTAGACACAGGGAGAAGGTGGTTAAGGACAAGGAAACAGCAAGTGCTAGCTATTTGTCTCAGTCTAAATACTAACCTGTCCGTACATCACCTCTGCCTTCCCAGGAGCCTGCAGTCAGCCAAAGGAATATGCCTGAGAGTGTGGGTCAGGCAGAGAGAAACACAGATCATCGTGGGAAGGGCAGGATCAGAGAGAGACGTGAAAGAACTGTCTGTGGACTCATCACCCCTTCCTTGTCATGAGAAGAAATGCCACAGTCAAAGTGGCAAAGAAAGGCCCGACGGGATAAGGGTTTTCTTCTGTTACCCCCTCCCAAAAGGTGAAAGAGCTGGGGGAGATGACTCCGTTGGTATGTGCCTGCCATGCAAACATGAGGACCTGAATTCTGATCTTTTGTCACTGGTAGTGCATGTCTGTACCCCTTCCATTAGAGGGCTGGAGACAGGTGGATCCCTGGAGCTTATTGGCCAGCAGGCCTAGGGAATTGCCAAGCTACTGGGTAGTGAGAGACTCTGTCTGAAAAACCAAGATGGAGTGCTGAGAAGATGGCTGTGTAGGTAAAGTGCTTGCCATGCAAGTATGAGAACCTAAGTTAGCACCTCCAGAAGCATCTGTAACCTCAGCTCAGGGAGGCAGGAAGAAGTGACTCCTATAGTTCACTGGTCAGCCAGCCCACACTGAAATAGCTCCAGGTTCAGTAAGAGACCCGATCTAAAAATAAAAGGTGAGAAGCAATTGAAGAAGACACCCAACATCAATCTTTGGCCTCCACATGCATGTCGACACATGTGCACGTACACCTGCATGTGTGCACACGCACACACATATGCACATACACACACACCATACACACACACACACACACGCACGCACGCACGCACGCACGCACACATGCAAACCTGGGTCCTAGTTAGGAAACTTCTAATTTTCTGGGACACGAAAGGAAGGAAAAAAGGGAATGTGGAACAGATTATAACAGGGGTCTCTTAAGCACATTATGCCCAGTGCACCATGGATTATTTAATTTTCACAGGCCTGTAGATCTACATATATTCATAGGGAGACTAAGACTATAGAGTGAATAGGAGAGCAGAATTTTAAACCAGGCCTGACTCTAGACCTTGTCCTGATTGTACTGCTCCTGAGATCTGCAGGCAGAGAACCAGGGAAGCTTCTGAGGCCCCCGGAAGCCAGGGGCCCACCAAGGAGCAAAGTTAGCAAGGTGCTGCCAGCCTCACTGTGCTATGCCCAGAATACAACCAGTGCTCTGTGGAGAGCCGGCATCTTTCCCTTTCTTGTCCTTGCTCTGAGCATGGCTGTCTCTTCCTAGAGGATCTGCAAAAGCTCTTGTCGTAGTCTGATCCTGAGACCCCCCAGAAGACTTCTCCATCTTCCTGACTAGTGACACTAGGGATGAATAAGCCCAAGACCATTTAGGCCAGGCTAAATGTGATCTGTCTTCCTGTCACAGCTCATTTGGACTCCTTTAATAATTGAGGCCCGTGTTAAACGGTTCACAGTTTGTTCTTCCTAGACAGGAGCAGTTCCGTGTGTAAGCGATACTCCTGCCTCCCAAGGACACACTTTCCTGACGTGTGGATGATTCAGCATGACCCAGTAGCTTGGATTTCATTGAGTTCTCTGTTAAAGTCAGCTCGCCCATCTCATCATTGAGACTAGGTGTTTGGAGCTTGGTGGCTATGGCTGGAGTTTCTTGACCAGGACTTTAGGTGATGGAGGGTGCTCTGTAGAGACATTCGGCTACTTACTGTTGTTAAGAGGGGCCATGGTTCTTCTGAGTGCCATCTCTCTTCTATGGGACTGTCATCCTAGACTGGTTCTAATTAGTTTCCCAGAGTCACATGTCCTTTCTCCTTTCCCAGTCTTTGCGTGAGCTGGTGTCACTGTCTCATTCTCATCTGTCCTCACTTTGCTGACTCTGCTTGCCCTGCCCAATGCAGTTCAGGTCTTGCTCTCTGCAACTCCATATCCCTCTGTCTCCATGTCTCTCTTAGCATTCATCTGCATAGGAATTGTCTGTATACTTGCCTTTTCCCCTAGTGGACTGAGGATTCCTATCTCTAGGACTGAGGAAATTGTAGAATGCATAAAAAAGTGAATGATTTGAGGTGTTTGGAGACTCTGTTACCAGGAAATTAACGCTGCTAGTTAGGCAGAAAATAGACCTTTCTTATTCTGTCCTATGCATTGGCCTTGGAGTTGCTTAGACTATGTCACCTTCACAGTGGATGTCAGAGGTCATGTGAAGATGCTGTGCTTCTTGGAGCCTTTCATGCCTGCCTTCTGTTTTTGTTCTGACTCATCACAAATGACCAGCTTTATAATTTAATAATGAGTAGCTTTGAACCTTCAAAAAATGCTTTCTTTTAAATTTTGCAGATTCACAGTTTAGCGTTGAGTACAATAATGTATCAGATGTCTGTCAAAATGTAGAACCAACTCTTTTGCTGGAAATAATTACATTTTGCCAAACCCGTTTATTCTGAGAAGCTCCAGTATATTAATGTACGGCACTATAAATGCACGCCTTGTGATGTGTGGATTCAGAGAGGGAGGGTTGGGATGGCAATTAAGCCAAGTCAGAGGCACTGGATGGGTGATAAAAAGGGAAATAGAACATGTCCCTTTGTTAGATACGTTCCCCTGAAGATAAGTTTATAATTTGACAATCTAGGCAGCTGGAGAAATTAGCAGCCGCTTCACTGGAGAAGCTGGCCTGATTCTCCAAACTTGCATTTGGAAAATGGAACCATTTGTTCTCTTTGTGATCCCTGGTTAGAGGGCTTATTTTTCAGGTCATAGTCAGATCAGGACCTAAACACATGACCTCAACTCCTGGCCAGGACAAGTGTGCTGTCTTTGAGGATGGTTGCTGTTGGCTGTATCTGTCTGATGTCATTTCCTCAATCCTTGGTCAGTCTCAAGTGAAACTTATCTCAATGCCACAAAGTTGGACAGATCTGCTTGAATGCTGGCTCTCACCACTGATAGCAGCCACCAAGCAAGGAACCATCATTTCCTTTCTGTGTATCAGTGTCTTTATCTGTAACATGGACATGAATCTTAGATAGTCTTAAACTGAACACCCAAGATATGGGTTTCCAGCACCATGATATGCTAGACATTGATTTAGACAATTGAAAACTAGACAGAAATCCTTATCCTTAAAGAACTTACATTTTAATGAGAGAAAACCTCTATTAAACCTAGATAGGATTATGTTATATACTATGTTGGGGGGTAATAGAAGAAAAAGATGGGCTAAAGGTTTCGTACAGTTGGTAGAGTGCTTACCTAGCATGCAGAAATGCCGAGGCCCATTCCCCAGGAGCACATAAAGCTGGGCATGCTGGTGCCTGTCTGTAATTCTGGCATTTAGGAGGATCAGAGTTCAAAGTCATCCCCTGTTAAATATTAAGTTTGGGAACAGCCTGGGCTATGTATGTGAGACCCTGTCTCAGAAACAAACACAAAAAGAAGAATTAAAAGGGGTGCAGGATAAGGGATCTGGGTAGTTCTGAGAGCAACTGGGGAATGTGGGTTGTAATTTTTTTTTAATGGTGTTCACTGAGCTGGTGACAAGAGGGAGCTGCAAGGAACCTACTAGTGCAGATAGCCTGACATATGGTACAACAGGCAGAAGCCAGCAAGACTTCAGCAACTGTAGGACAGAATCGTGGAGGGTAAGAGAAGCTCAGCCAAGACGCAATGATGCTGAGATCCTCAAGTTCCTGAGGATTCAGTGAATGGACATCCACAAAGTGCCTTCTTTTCTGTTGGCCTTTTCATTTTCTGATGTCTCCGTCATACTGCTTGGCACGGGCCTCCAAGCTTCTGTGAGACTTTGATATCCCTTTTCTCTTGGCCCAGCTGGCTGTCAATCACTTCCTTGTCCTCTCTCCCACCCCTCCCTTTTCTCTTGTTCCCATTGTCTTTAACCTACTTGGTGACTTCTCACCTGCTCAGTCACACCAGCCTCGGAAGCATTACACCTGCCTCTCCATCACCACCCTTCCTGTCACCCCCTTCCTTCCCGCCATGATGCAGTGTGCGGCATTTCTCTTGCTCATCACCCTTGGCTGCTCGGCTGTACTCATTTATTCCTTCCTTTGTTCACACATTCAGCATCTTCCGCGCATCTACTAATGCTCAAAGTCATGTGAATCCTTCTGAGGCGGGAACAGACTCGCAAATAATTTTAGTACCAATTCAGAAATGTGTGTTTGCCCCAGCTCGTTTCTAAAAGGATTTAGGGTTTATTATGTATCCTGATGAGCAATCCAGAGCAGCTGTCTGTAGATGTCAGCATAGAGCCCTACCGTCACCCGGACAGGGACAGGCCTGCCTCTCTAGGGGCTCACTGGCAGTCCTGTAGTGTGGCCTTCTCCATCACAGCTCCATGTCTCTGCAGCAACACGCATGTTGCTTGCTGGTCTGTGTTCTGCCTCCCAGGTGCAGCATAACATAGCCCCTCTGTGGGAAGCCTGAGCCCTGGGTCCAACTAATTTCCCCTTCCCTGCACTTCCTTCACATCTGCCTCTTGTCCAGTGCTTGGATCAGCTAGGAGAGGGTGGAGGGAGATTTCTTGCTCATTTCTCTTGTGAATTCTTTGAGTCAGGGATCAGGCCCATCTTTACCACCCTTTCCAGAGGATATACTCAGTAATCTGAGTGAGGGAGTAAATGGGGGTGGGGTGTTCCTGGTGCCATAGCATCTAGGGACAGATTTTCTTTTTCTTTTTGAGACAGGGTTTCTCTGTGTAACAGCCCTGGCTGTCCTGGAACTCACTATGTAGGCCAGGCTGACTCCAGACTCACAGAGATCTGCCTGCCTCTGCCTCCTGAGTGCTGGGATTAAAGGCGTGCGCCTCAATGCCCAGGTCAGCCTTGCCTGAGATGGATGGATGGATGGATGGATGGATGGATGGATGGATGGATGGATGGATGGATGGATGGATGGACGGACGGACAGCTGGTTCTCAACCTATGGCCTGTTTCCTAATCACCTGAAAACCATGGATTTTTGGCCACACCTCTAATAGTTTATTCATTCATCATATCTGACATCAGGCCTAAGATTTTAGATTTTTAATTTCCCAGCTGATACCTAACCTGCTGCTTCAGAAACCATATATTATCTGGCCAGGCTCTGGAATATATTAATAATAACTAAATAATAGTAACAGTCAGCACTTACTGTGCAGTTATTATGTGCCAGGCTCTGTGCCAGAGGAGCTTTATATAGCTCCATTTAATTATTTTTTCATTTTTTCACTTAGTGTGCATACTATGTGGGGGG